TCCATGTAAGTGAAGGATTCTAGGAAAATAAAGCAGGGGTGCTCGACCGTGGAACTGGACTTGCCGGTAAGAGACTAGTCAATGGTTATGAGAGCTATTGCACAACTACAACTGAATACGGAATCGGTAGAACAATTAAAAAAGCAACAAAATATTGCCAAACAAGTAAATCCTATCCGTGTCCAGCTGAAACACAGGGATTCTCGACTTTCTTATACACCTCAACAGCACGAATGGCAACATCCGAATCGTGGGTCGACCGAACAGAAATTTCTCGGAAATACAACTCCATCACAAGGACACTTGGCTAGGCCAGAGTGAGCTGGGAAGTACGGAATATGATGACAGGAAGGGCGAGAGTAATGGGAGCCATGTCGGTAGTGGGCCCTGCTGCTTCCATAGGAATCGAAACTGCTTGAGGAGGAACTGGATATAGAACGATGTCGAGAATCATGATTGTGGTGATGACGATGACGGGTCGGTAGCGGAAACAGCGCTAGCTCATTCACAGGGTAAATCGGCGAGTAAAGATCTACCGAATTTTCCCAACTGAAAAACCACGCTTCTGCCATACTCCGGTCAATACGTAATCGTTCACCGGTCATGGTATCCTCCAAGTATATTTGATCCAGAGGAATTCCAAGAGCATTCAGTTTTTCTTGAAAGCGTCGATACAGCTCATCGTGGCTTCTGTATCCAAGGGTGAATGACTGACAGGATCTTCTCCTTCTTTGGGGACGACAGCATGGCGGCGTTGTTGGCTTCAACGGATTGCAGAACNTCAGCCGTCGAATGCTCAGTAGTCATAGTTTCCTCAGAGAAAATTATATTCGTCAGAGGAGCCTTCAGGAACGTCTGGCAATGGTACAACCCTTCGAAAGTTGCCTGGGCGGAGTCTGTCGTAGCGGCAGCGAATCGATTGCTATGATTCATTGTCAGTTCATAGGAGAATAGCGCCAGGGTCTGCTTTCCGTTGTTTCCAGCGCTGTGCTGGAAACCTAATAGAGGCTGTCTTCCTGAGGCTGGGGATCAAGTGAAGAATTTCACTCTGATCGCCATTTAAACGACGTCTAAGTATCTGTGTACATTCTGTCTAATTCGTGTGCCCACTCTGTGTGCCATTTGGAACAGCCGCCCTCCCATAACTAAAACCTCCAACGTGGCCTTGTGCTATTGATAGGCAGCTGTTCCACGTGGCGGTCTAGACCTAGTCGACTATTTAACCAGTAGCCAGGCTACGACCAAAGGAACTCGCCGTTCGACAGTCGCCTTTCATTCCTCGTACTTGCGTCGTCAGACCGGCTATTTTGTCCATTCCTCACCCTTGACCATATTATACAAGAAAGAAAATACTCTCCTTTGCTACGCCATCGGGTGAGCTAAGCTGTGCTTACCTGATGGTGTAGCAAAGGGAAGTTAATCTTGTTCAAACTATACCTCTTCGTCGAGCACCTCTACACTCCCCACTTCGATACGCCTTTGATTCATGCACTAATCGACCACGAAGGGGAGTCACCTGAGGTACGTCACAGTTTTTTTGTTGTAAATACTACCAATTTTTTTTACGGATTTCGTTTTATCCATGCCCCCCTTGAACTTCCCCTATTTCATAATTTTTCTAAATGTTTCAGGTCGAAGCAACCGCTTAGCAGCCGCACGCGTTATTGTTATACATTTTGTGTGGCGACGATTTATTTATTTACTCGGAAGCACATATATAGCGAATTTCCGGTTTGGTTTTATTCCCGCCGTCACAGCTTCTAGCACTTTAGGGTACTTTTACTCGTTCACGCCCTTTGTTTTTACTCTCACCCCCCCCCCCCCNCGGTTTAGTTACATTCCCGCCGCCACAGCTTCTAGCACTTTTGCACTTTAGGTTACTTCTATTCGTTCACGGCTTTTGTTTTTACCCCCCAAGCCCCCTTCCCTCTTATAAGCTTCCTCACAACAACTGCTCCAGATACAGATCTTATCGCATTTTTATTGTTTTTGCAGCTATAAATACTAACAAAACAACAAATATGTACATTTGAAGTGTGCCGAATTAACAGAAAGGCCTCCCATAACGTCAGTCCTGATGAGAAATACTTCGGTTAGCAGTATACTATCCTAGTTAAAAAGCGCTATCGTGATTAGAAGGACACTGGACCAGGAACAATAACTATAGGACAAGGGTAGTACTACAATGTTTAATTATTTAAACTTCTAGATAACCAATACCAAAAAGCTAAGAATAGATGAACTATGAACATAAAAAAATATGGTGAACCGTGGCCCAAAAATTGTTGATCCTTGAAAAATTGCGACAATTAGGAGAACCAGCGATCAAAATCTGCCAAGCAGGACGCCCTAGGTAGGAGCAAATGCTAAAAATTATATTTTACCAACAGGCACTATACGGCAAGGTAAACAAAGATAATCTGATGAAATACTGTAGTAGCAAGACTGTTGGAGACTGTAGGTAATCCATTCAACAGTAGCAAGTGTGGCATCCAGAGTACCCATTTACTTGGTAGAAATCCCCAATATATCTACAACAACTGGATGGGTGACAGGGTGCTGAGGGAAAGTTTATAGATTGTCCGCAGAAGCGACCAGACTGACATGCACAGTGATGCCGTTTGGGAAGATGCTTCCGATGCTTATGTTTTAAATTTTCACCACTGCTGTAAGAAGTACCACCCGAAGAGCTCGAGGATCGACTCCTTCCCAGAAGAGCGTTGTTCCCGGGGCTGTAATTGCAGTCGTCAGATGCAGCCTTACTGAATAACCTCACAATGCTCAATCCGTCAGATACAACAAAGAGGTTATCTGGGTTATCAAGAGGCATACGCTGACGATTCCCATCAAGGGCGTAAAGGCT